ATGTTGCACGTGACTTTTTGCAGCAAAAAACAAACAAAAAGATATTAATTTAACCACGTAATGAAGTAATTGAACGTGTTTTGTAGAACTTTGTTTTTGATTTCCTTAATGTATGGAATGCACAACTGTTTACATGAATGTTTCACTGTATAAAGCTGGCTTTAGGTTTTCTGGTCTCCATGCACGATCAGCTGGTGCCTATGAAAACAGATTTACAGCTAAATTTACAAATTTCTTTGACTGAAGACTTCGTAAAAGTTCTACAAAAATATGAATAAACATTTATGGACTGAAAACATTCACTGATGGAATTAGATGCTTGTTGGCGTCTATGATACGTGAGGTTGAAGACAAAACAGTTTCTGTTCTTTTCGGAGTACAAGTAAATGTGCTGATGTTCTTGAAGAGTTTTTCCTGACCCCAGCAATGCTCATTAAGGGGCTGCACCTGCATTCCTGGAAAACTGCTTTGGGACTATGTCTGTTTTACAAATAAATTAAATTGAGCCACAAAATGAGAATCCCTTAAATGCTTTTGGCCACTGTAATGTCCTGCGGTTGGCACTAGTTTTTATGCAAGTGTTCTTTTGGCTCGAGCCTCTCTCTCTAGCTCCTTCAGTTCCCCACTGCGGCATGATAGGGGCTTAAAGTGGTCATCTCTGAGAGGTAATTAAGTAAAGTGAGGCAATTTGTCTGAGAGGTGAGCTATTGAATTGTCAATAAGCGAAACATATTTTGATTGGTCTGTACTTAGCTTCGCAAAGCACAGACGTGATTCCTATGCAGAGAGTTTTTATATCAGCATAGATAATATGGGGTGCACAGTTTAGAATTCAGGGAAGTATTTTGGGCATAATACTCACGCATTGACTCATGCTTTTGAAATGCCTTTATGGCTCAGAGTACAGCTTTTACCTACTACATAGCATGTATGCTGTCCATCAAATGTTTAAGGGCACCTAGCTTTTCCAAAGGTTGGTAATATAGATTGGTTGGTTTGCTTAATGTAACATTAATAAGAAAGCTGTTCAGATTTTGCCATTTTTCTTTGTAAAAGCTGCTAAACTAAAGGATAGGCTGACAAAAGGTCTACTTTGGAAATAATGCCAAAGCCCATGCCTTTGTTTCCCTTGTTATGATGTCAGCACTGATGAAGACTTGAACCTTTCAGGTGTTTAAACCACCTTTAGGGCTAAATGAGTTTCAGTATGTGCTTTTAGGTGGTGCAACCATTGAAGTCTTGGGCCTATCATGGAGAGGTTGTGAGTTTGAACCCTGTTGATGCCACAGCCATCCGTGGCTGGGGGTCCAGGGCCCATTCCCCTTTTCACCGTTTGCCCCTACCACTTAGCCCTTACCCCTTCATTTTTGCCTGTTCACGCCAAGGGGTAGGGTGTCTCAATTTTTGTGGTAGGGCAAAGTGTTGGGTATTTTTTCCCTTAAAAAAATTATAACCATTGTATTATTTTAGTTTAATGTCGTTTTAATGTATTATGGTCCTTTTCTTCATTACAAGCACAACAAAATTTTGAGGTTTGTTCCATTTCGTAGGGGGAAGATTCAATCACTACCCCTTGTAACTCCATTCCAAGGGGCAAGGTGACACTCGAAAAACAAGGGGTAGGGGTAAATGGGAATGGGACCAAGAGAGCATAATTGTCCCCCTCTCTCTCTCCCTGAATGAGCAGGATGGTTTTTCCCTCTTCCTCCACACTCAGTGCCCTGCTAGCTAACATGGGTCACTTTTAGCTGATGTAACAGAATGGGCAGTTAGTGTTCTTCTCCGAGCTTGTTGAACTGTACAGTGATGTTGCATTAGCAACAGTTTGAAAAAAGAGGAAGCAACTTCTGAGCTTGGTAGCATCTTGTGCTGGGAAGATCTAACTAGTTGACACAAGAAAATTTGGATTAAAAAAGTGCTTTTAAAAACGGAAAACATAACTACATGATGTAAGATCTTTTTGTTAAAACTGAAAGAAGTAGCATTACTGAGTCAGGAGAATAAGAACAGGCTAAAATATGGTGTCCATGTGCTGGTGTGAGTGACCCTGTAAAGCCTGAAATAACCATTTAACACTCAGAGGCATCAGGTCGGATTTCGCAGGAGTTTTTTGTACCATGTCAGACTTCTTTACGTATTACATCACACGTACAGGCTCAGAAAGAAGGTCCGGCTCAATGTTTAGGTCTCAAATGCAAAATCAACAAGATATGATGACAATAGTAGATAATTCATTCACATCCTCGGTAGACAAGTCCTTCCCTAAGTTTTGACTGAGTTCTCTTTGTATACTCTTTCAACACACTCGTAATCATCAGATTCATCCACTTGGGGAAGGGGTCCGAAGCACAACCTGTGTTATAAATGTTCATCCACATGTTGTGTACAGTTACACATTCCACCAAGAAGGTCTCCAACATCCCAAATTTTACATAGTGTAGCTTTAATGTCATAATGATTGTTTAAACCAAACTTGCTCTTCATACAAGACACTTTGATAAACATCAAGCATGTTGCAAAATATGCCCAAAATATTATAACCTGTTTTATGCTAACCTTTGCAGGTTTGTCGTCTTATTAAATTGAAATGTAACCATGAAAATCAAACAATACGCTGAAGGCAAGCTTTTAGTGGATGGTCTATAAGCAGTAAAGTGATTGATGCTGCTAGTATTTTGTAGTTTTTCTCTGGCCAGACTCTTTTGCAGTGGTTTCTGAATGGTGCTGATGGTGCAGATCCATGGACGAGTGAGCCAGACGATGAATGGCCGGACCTAGTCACTTACTGCTGACCGCAAGAGGTTAAATGCTGCATTGAATTACAGAGCCTCAGGAGGAAACCTCTTCCTTTTAGGTTTTTCTATTAGTGAAAGAAGCAGACAGCGAGAAGGTCGCTGTGTGTTCTACAGAGGGAGTGGGGGGGCGGTGACAAACAGAGCTCCTTGTTGAAATTCTGCGTGGATGTGTCTGACTGGCACAGTGACAGTGGTCACTGACGCATTGTCATAGCACTACTCAGTCCCCCTGCTCCAGGTCCATTCATAGGCAAGTGGCCCTTGAAATGAACGTCATGGTTCACAAGATTCTGCAGATTGAGCAGAATGTGAATATTCTGAAAAACGTTCTGTGCCTTTGTGAGCTTTGGTGATGGTTTACATTTGAAGTAAAAACTGAAATGCACACCTGAAATGCCCTTCCTAATGTGTAGTCGATCAGCCACGTGTGTTTGATGTCTGAATTTTGCCTCTTTGGTTTTGCACTGGAGCTACAAGGCTAATTTAGCTAGCAAATAATGGAAGCTTATAGCCTACTAATCAGTACATGCAAACTGCATCCCTAAATCATTGCAGCAGTGCCTTTCGCTATGATAAGTTGTGGTTTCTGACGCTGATAAGACATATTGACATCTATAAAAATAGAGAAATATGGCAAAAATAGGAAATAAGAACTAAAACGGTAATTAGAATAATTTCAGAATGTCAATTAAATTTTTTAATTTTGTGGAAAAAATGTATGTTTTTAACTTTAATTCATGTCAGTAAGAACATTGTAACTGCAGTTACAATGAATTGGAAAAGGGCTTGATTTCTCCCAGTGAGAAGTGAAATCCTACATGCTGAAATATAATTCCTACAATTAAAAGTTGTGTTTTAACTTATAATTTTATTTTTATATACATGTTATTTTTCTAGTATCAAGAACATTTTGTGATACTATTATTTGCAGCACTTCTTCCCTTTTTTGTTGTTTTTGTGTGTGTGTGTGTGTGTGTGTGTGTGTGTGTGTGTGTGTGTGTGTGTCTTTGTCGTTACTGTAATTATGACCATTTTGTCCGCCAATTAGAGCTTGGCGTGGGTCTTTAATGTGTATGATCTCATTTATATGCCTACTCTTATTAGCTCTTGCCTAGAGCACAAGTAAAAAAAATACCACACCAATAGAAATTAGGTGCACTAAATTTATAAATTTGGTCCTCATACATATCAGAAACCATTTAGAATGTGTGATTACTCAACACAGTTTAAGGCAAGTTTGTGATGACGTTCCAAGATACTGTATATCAGGGCTGGAGTGGGACTAGTTTTCAGACCAGGAGTTGCATGATTCAGACCAGCCCGCCCCAAACTCTAGCTGTATTTCTCCTGCTGCACAAACACACACAGGCAGTGTATGTTATTCTAAATTCGCACCGTCACGCTGAATTTGATACACTCATTTCTCTTCTTATTTGAATTCCCGTTCCACCTTAAATAGTGCAGCAGTTATATGCTAGCACCTGTACAGGCATCTGAATGTAAATGCTACATCCTTTAGGGTGAACTGGGAAATGAGAATAAGAAGCTGACTTCAGCTTCATCTAATCTCTAGCCACTGTGTAAGACTCAGTTACAGTCAGCAAACCTGGGCTGATTTACCTCCTAAATTACTACAGATATGCACCTGGATGCAACATATATAGTTTGTCTAAGCGCTCTTGTGTTTGTATGCATGAGTTTATACATTAGCTCACAGAAACGCTGCTGGGTCACCAGGAACTTTGCTGTCTCTCCTGATCACTCGCTCTGGTATAGGTGTATATCTGTTTGTAACAATTTTGGATATAACAAGTTTTTAAAAGAATAACAGCTGATGCATAATGGACATTTTTTATTTCTCTATTAAAAGTGGTATTAACCATAATATAGCACTGATGTTTCTTGTGTGTGTAAAGCGCACTCCCACATAATAACATGAGAACAAAAACTTCAAAATGGTCTATGATGCGTTTTTAAAAAGGGACCCTTCATGTGCAGTTCTAATACTACTAGTACTAATTAGAGCTTATATGCGTACATTACTTGTTAGCCACATTAGCCTTGTAGTTCCTGTGCAGAAGAAAAGAAGCAAAGACATAAAGCATGTTTTGGCTGATCAACTGTATTTTGGCTTAAGGAGAAAACGGTGTATTAGATTTTTGGCCGAAGTGTTGATTTAAAGTTTGAATCTTTGTGTGTTGCTAGGAGACGGGACGCTTCGCGTTTGGGATGTGAAAACAGGGTCATGTCGATTGGCCATCCCTGCACACAAGGCCGAGATCCTCAGCTGTGACTGGTGTAAATATGACCAGGTACTCCATTTATGCCCATTTCCATTTAATAATAATGATAATAATAAACTTTATAGAGGACTTTCCATGTAGGTAGCTGCTCAGAGTGCTGTACAGACAGGTGATTGTCATAACAGTAATAGTTTAGAAGCATAATAGAGCAGAAAGAGTCATTTAGAGCTTTTAAAACAACTACATTTAAAGCTGTTCTAAAAGATACAGGTAACCAGTGCAGTTTGTTTAAAATATGGGTGATGTGAGCTCTCTTTCGTGCTTTCATTAGGATCTGTTTGAGGCTTAGAACCAACTTTAGACTCTTTAGAAAATGAATTAAAATATATTTTTAACTGGATGTTAATGGAAAAGACATCTAATTGCAGTTCATTTGTGTCATTTTACACATGAGAATCATAACCTACTGATTCTCCACCCTGGCAATCAGGTGTGATTATGTAAAGGGGCTGGATTGTGAATCAGTGATTTATAAAATTAAACAAGTTACATCGCTGATCTTAGCTTATTCTTTTTTTTGTTCTGTAATATTTAGTGCACTCAGCATATGAGCATGATTCCATATTTTAAAGTTTCGTCAGAATCTACCAGTGTAGTGCAGCGTAACTGTGTTTTGTTGTAAGTCTATTTTAAAAATGGCGCAACCGTCTCAGTGTTGGCCCTGACATTTGGAGATCATGAGTTCAGTCCCTGATGACGCCACAGCCATCCGTATCTGGGAGTCTCAAAGAGTGTCTCATGACTGTTCTCTGTCTGTCTGGGTGGTCTTTCTTCTCCCCATCACTCAGCACGATGCTAGCTAACATGGGTGTCTGTTGGCTGATGTTATAGAATTGGCAGTTAGTGCTCTCCACCAAGCACGTTGAGCTGTCCAGCTTGAAGCAGCTTGGTGCTGCTCCACTTGTCATAGAGGTAGCACATGCTAGCTTTCACCCTCCCAGCTTGATAGCATTGTGTGATTGAGGGAGATAGAAAAATAATTGGGTAATAATTACCCTCATAAAAAAGAAAAAATTATATATTTTTTAAATACATGAGTAAATTTTTTCCAGACATAAAAGAGTAAGACGTAACATTGGATGACTAGGTGCTGCTGTACTTTCATTGCTGTGTAAGAGTTATTCAGTTCTGCACCTCAAACCCAAATCCAATTTTGGATTTTGTGTTCACTTTGACGAAATGAAATATAATTTACAGAAAATGATATATAAAAGCTATGTATCTGAGCAGTAAGCATTTATTTGCTGAGGGAGAAACACAACTATTAGAATAAGTACAAATAATAATAATAATGCCTTTTTTGTGGCAGACTAGTATTTCTTGCAGTTATCATCCAGTACCTGGTTTGGTTAGTCAGTACTTCATCAATTTAAATCACAAATCTATTTGATGTCTGGGAGCATCCAGGAGAAATCTGGAACCAATCTAGCTCACAAGATATCAGCTGTTGTTTTAAAATAAGAAATACTTACTTTTTTCTGTATTTACATTTAATTGCATTTATTCTGATGAAATGCTGTTCGTGTGAGTAAACACACAATCACTGCTGAGATAAATGGTTTTAAAGAATGTGTTTGAGTGCCTAAGGCTTTTGCACAGAACTGTACCTACCTTCTTTCCTCAGAATGTTTTGGTGACTGGAGCTGTTGATTGCAGTCTGTGCGTGTGGGACTTGCGGAGTGTGCGCCAGCCTTTGGCTCAAATGTTAAGCCACACTTACGCCATTCGGAGAGTGAAGGTAGGCTCAAACAAGGCGCTTTTCATTCCGTTTCTATAATTTATACAAAGTTTCCATTACTTGTTAGATACTTTAATCTCAGCTCTAAAACTAAAGAAGCAAACTTCAGATACAAAACATGCCTTGGATGATCGACTATATTTAAGAAATGTCAAAAAAATTGCTGATCACCTTTGCTGTTGTCCTTTGGGTTTTACAAACTCCTGAAATAGTAATACAGTTCAGGCAAAACATTGTAAAAATTGTACAACCTAGCCAAAAAAGTCTACATAGCAATCCATCAAAAATTACTAGTTATATCACTCATTGGATTAATTTATTCATTACTTCTGGGAACAGTAATCTCATTAGTCATCACTTTACTTCTGCATTACTCTCTGAAACCCAAACACATCTGTACCAACAGTAGAGTACAACAGACAACCCAGTACAGTATTTAGACAGAAACAGCCACTCGCAGTAAACATCATCAGTGTCCCTGTCTGTCAACAAGACAGCCAGTTATGCTTTATATGAACCACAGATGTTGCTTGAAAAGTGAGAAGATAGCCAGTTGAAACATTTAAAAAAACAGCTGCGGGGCTCCCAACTGGCGCAACCGTCTAAGCGTTGGCCCTGTCATCAGGAGATCGCGAGTTCGATCCCTGGTGATGCTACAGCCATCCGTAGCTGGGAGTCCAAGAGAGCACAATGGGCCTCGCTCTCTCTGGGTGGGTAGGATGGCCCCTCCTTCTCCCCCCATCACTCCACGCGATGCTAGTCAGCGCAGGCGTCTGTTAGCTGATGTAACAGATCTGGCGGTTGGCGCTTTCCTCCGAGCGCGTTCGGCTGTCCAGTGACGTTGTGTGAGCGGCAGTTCAAAAAGATGCGGTGGGTGGTTTCACAGGTCTCAGAGGAAGCCTGTGTTAGCCTTCACCCTCCTAGCGTTGGTAGTATCCTGCGACTGGGGGAGTCCTAACTAGCGGGTGGAATTGGAAACGACTAAATTGGGGAGAAAATTGGGTTAGTCAAAAATAATAAAAAAAATAATAAAACAGCTGCTTCATAATTTAATCTTATGAATAAGAAGACTTTGGGGATTTAACACTGTTTATCATACTGTTATATAGATAGGTATAGATCCCCAGATTTTGCTGTGTTTTTTTCGCATGTTCTACAGGTGCAGACTTGCCAGGTCCAGAAAACTTTTTTAATCCGAGGGTTTACTTAAAAGCCATCCGGCAGAGGCTGAAACTATATAATTTTCTCTTCTGACTGCTTTTTCAAATTATCCCACATTGGCAGGAGAACCACAGACCTGGCAACCCTGACAACAGGTGTGTGAGCTGTACCAAACACTGCACAGCGTAACCAATTAAAAGCACATGATTTACATTTCCACATTCCATTTTACAAGAGAGATTGTATTTGTACATTTTTTAAATGAGGGGATAGCATTTCCTTGCACCCCCACCCAACACTGTTCAGTCTTAAGATGCAGCTTCAACAAGTGATTAGAATGATGTACATTTTGTTATTGTAGTGCAGTGTGTCACCTGTTTCAGGCACAAAGCAGCACAGCCCACACACACAGCAACACCCAGCCATTACAGTGTCAATTCTTCTTCAAGAAGTAGTGTTGATCAAAGCCTCGGGTTGAGTGAAGTTGGCAAGAACAGTTTAGACTCGTGATATAAGCTGGGGTCTGTGTGGAGTTGTGAGCGTGTGTTTTTTCTTTGTGTGGTGACAGCTATGGATTTCCTTTAGAAATCCGCTTAATTGAGTCCTTGAGCTGGTGAGTCCACATGGCCAACAATTAGCCAGATTATACGAAGCTCAGTCCGCTCTGTATCTGAGCGGACAGTAACTCAGCAGGAGGCTGACTGCCAGTCACATGTTATACATGACTTATGGCACAGGCCCAAGGCACTTATGAAATTCATATACATTTGTGAGTAAAAAGTTTGTGTGCCCTGCATTAATGGCTCCTCACATGTGATCTGAGAGCCTTAAATGTGTCAGAATATATTAATTCAAAGTTCATCATAACATAATGCACAACATATGGATTTTTTTATATATAATTCTAAAAATGCAGGCATCGTTGACAATCTCAAATAGTAGTTGCATTAACATCATCCTTTGCCATGCTCAAATATATATACATATATATATACTTATTAAAAGTACATACAGTTGGGTGCAAAAGTTGGGGCACCCCTGGTTAAATTACATTTTGATTTTCTAAGTGAAAATAAGTAACACATTCTGTACAGTGAACACACTTAAATAAGGCATGCTTCTGCAATTTTTATGCAGAATTTTTTTCTGAAACAATTTTTTTATAAATATATACATACGTATTAATATATAATAATTGGGAGTTTGTCCCCCTTTGCTTCAGTAACAAAGCACTTTACTCTTCTGGGAAGCCTTTACACTATAAGTTGGAACATTGCTGTGAGGATATGATTGCATTCAGCCACAAGAGCATTAGTGAGGTCAGGTACTGATGTTGGATGATTAGTTCTGGATCCCCCCCAGCTCATCCTATAGATATTAGATGGAGCTCTCCAGAGAACACAGTTCCACTGCTCCACAACCCAATGCTGAGGGACTTTATACCTCTCTAGCTGACACTTGCCACTGGGCATTGTGAACTTAGGCTAATGTATGGCTGCTGCAGAATGTCCCATTCTATTGGTTATTGCTTTTCTGTGGAGATTATACAAGCACAGTTGTGCCCATTTGATTCAGCAGTGGATGCACCTCAAAGCTGCACTGTGTAAGATTTTTTTGGTAAAATCGAAAGAAGTAGCATTGCTAAGTCAGGAGGAAAAAAATGCTAAAATATGACGTGCATGTCCTGCTGCACGCTGCTCTGTAAAGCCTGAAATCATCATTTTAAAAGCTGTCAGGTTGGAGTTTTTCAGACCATGTCCTATGTCTTTACATATTAACGTCACATGCACAGGCTCAAAATGAATGTCTGGCATGACGTTTAAGTCTCAAATGCACAATCGACATGAAGATAGGATGACAATAGTAGATAATTCACTTAATCAGGAGACACATCCTTTACCAAGTTTTGAACGAGTTGTTTCCAAACATCAAATTCATCCGCTCATGGAAGGGGTCCAAAAGCAATAACCAGCGTGGCAAAATGTTCATCTGCAAATACACATTTCCACCAGAGAGGTCTCCAAATCCCCAAAACAGAGTGCAACTTACACAGTGAAGCTTAAAATAAAAAGCTAAATTCACTAATAACAAGGGTTCCCATGATACTTTTGGGCATACAGGGTACATATAAACTGAAGTCGTTATTATACAGGGACTTCAATGCAAACTGGCTGAGCTATTCTTAGGTTATAGAAGTGTGTAATAAAACTTTGGGCCCGCTAGTGGACCCTGGCCATTTTAGGGCATAATATAGAAGAGTAGGCCATGTCCTGAACAAGTTTCTGTTAGTTAGTAATAAAAGTGCTTAATCATGTAAACCCTGGGTTCAATAAAGATATGCTGCTGTTTGTTACATAGGACTGTCTTTATTTTTATACCTTTGATAAAGATGTAGTCACATATGTAGTCACATTTTAGTAGCCGTACATGCAGACATCTAAAAAAATATCAAAAAGTTAAAGAAACATTTCTGATAACTGTGTATCCCTCAGGACATGGTCCATTTCCAACACAGGAGTACAAGCAACATCTTTTCATAACACTCATAAATATTGCATGGGTCAGTTGCATACGTCAGTTCTTCGCTCAGGTATTTAATAAATGAGCTTATCCCAGAGTATTCTTTTATAAACAAAAACCTGCCACTTTGCCTGAGTGTGATGTAACGTAACGTGTTTTTCTTTCCATGACCATCCAGAAAATGAACTTTGGACTTTCGTAATGCTAACTGAAGCCTCCAATCAGATGAAACCTAATTATAAAATTGTGCCAACCATAGCCACCTCAAACCTGTACTATTATACTGCACACATTTCTGTGAGAGGCAGCAGTCTAAAGAGGAATCCCTGTTCTTGAAAGGTGTTAAAAATATTACTAAATTGATTGCCAAACTGACCTCAGTACCTATGAATTGAAGAAGGCTTTTAGTGAGAGACTCGTAATCAATAGATTCCTGATGTTCTCAGGGGGTTTCAGTTTGAAGTTATCAGCGTGTTATTTCAGCCTGCTAACAGGTATAGATTTCTGCAGTGCTTTTCAACATGTGCCTGGAGAAGCCCCTCATCAGCGCTTCTAGAAGAGCTTGGGTTAAAGGAGTAGTTCAGTCAAATATCAAATTTAAATAGATTTCCCTTTAACTCTATGTGTAGCCCAAGACATGTTTTGTGTCTGAAGTTTGCTTCTGTAGTTTTGCACTGGAGCTACAAAGCTAATGTAGCTAACAAGTAATGGAAACATATAGCTCCCGATTAGCATCATGTAGACTGCTTTCCTAACCCAACACATACTTGCCTCAAACCAACTGAATTGTCAAATGTTTCTTAAATAGACTTGCTTATGTCATTTCTGACATTGCATGACACACTATTACAGTAATTGGGCATTTGTTCCATACCTAAAGATGTACAACATTAAAGTCAGAGACCATCCATTTAATTTCCAGTAATTATACAAGCTATTCATTTTTCAGATTTAGGGGAAAAAAGAAAACATACATTTAACATAAATTACAAAGTCTCAACACATAAATATAATTTATTTTTTCAGTATTTAGCATGTCCATTCTTTGCCTTCATTTCAGCTTCTATTCTTTTCAGGAGACCTTTCAGAAATCTGCAGGGGTGTTTTCCACACCTCCAAAATTCAGTCTTAGAATTTGGTTTTATTTTCTACCAGGTTTTGTACTCAATGACTGGCAAATGACTGGAAATGAAAAAAAGAAGGGAGGTCTCTGCCTTTTCCAAAGCACTGTATTAAGTTCATTGTGTTAGGAAATAAAAAGTTAGATCAAGTGGCTTGAAGTAGATAATTCCAAGACCATTACCTTTTTGATAAAATATTCTTTCAAAATGGCAGCTGGTTTGTTTCAGATTGTTATTTCTTTACAGACTTCTGCAGGTTGGCATCCAGAATGTCTGTGTGCAGCCCAAAAGCTTACACCTCTGTGCTCTACAGTAGCCCTAGTGCACTGATTGGAATTCATCTCCAGACTTTCTCCACACAAAGAGTTTACCACCAGTCTGATGTTGTACTGAAAGTGTTTCTCTCTGAAATACGTATTATATTGTTAAACGTTTTATGAAGTAACCTAAAAAACTTCACTTAGCTTCACCAATGGTTAAATGGTTAACCATGTCAACTGTAACTGGACACTTTAACTACTGGAATCACTGTATATATGTAAGTGGAATATGAAAAAGCTTATGTTTTAAAACTAGAGGTTTTAATCATTACATCTTTACATGCAATTGCTTTCTCATACCAAAATGTATGCCTAGGGTGTGCAAGGACATTCAATGTCCATGTTCATTTATATTATGCAGGATAAAAACAGCAGGACTGCAGTGTATACGCTGCAATTCTTCCTGCCAGCTGTACTGTTAATTTTCTCCTCTGCTTTTTATAGTTCTCCCCATTTTACAAGACAGTGCTGGCATCCTGCTCATACGACTTCACAGTCAGGTAAGAGAAATAACATGGAGCAAAACCAATTTCCAGTTTTTTAACTTTTTTAAGCTGTTTTTGTGCTGTAGTTCTAGCATCATATTTATTTTTCCGGTTTCTTGAATGTTTCTCTTTTTTTTGTGGATGTTCTTTCTGTTCGCTAAGGCGATTACAAAAAAAAAAAATAATAATATATATATCAAATCTCTTCACCACCCACGCTGATCTTCAGAAGAAATGGAACAAGACACAGAAATGCAAATGGAATTTTCATTTCAGAATGAGATACCATGCATCATGCATGCATACACTGTGAACTCCATCTTCTTAGACCTCCTCACGTTTGTTCATAATATCCAAAGGTACTGAACCATGATCTCTGTAGAAGATGAAGATGGCTTCCCTGACATTTTCCTGGTCGGGCAATGTATAGGCATGTATGTGCTCACAACAGAGTGTGGGTAAAGCAGGGGGCTAAGCACTGTGAGGAAGGAGGAATTGGTGTTCATCCCTGTCAAATGGGCTGTAAAACACATTGAACTAATTTCAGGGTAGGTGAGTTTATGTACTTATGTTGGAGAGGACCACAGCTGTGTTAAAGGGTCTGGTTGTGTTTTAAAATGCTTAAGTAGCTAATCTTTGCATAGAAAGAACTGAAAAAAGAAACTGCTGACCTTGCAACTTCAAAGCTCTACTGGTCTTCAGTTGTTAGAAAGCTCAGTTTTGTGTTTGACTGAGGGGTGAACTCATTAGTAGGCCTGTCACAATTGTGAAATCTTTACTGACGATTAATCGCCATATAAGTACTTACTGTTAACAATTTCTGATTCATTTTTTGTTCATTGTATGCAACTATTAAAATATAAATTGGCTGATAAGCTATCTCTCTTCCTAGATTTCGATACTTGGTAGTTCCCAACTGACAACAGACACAGCTCGAGCTCAAATAAACAAACGTTACTCAGCGTCACTGTCCAAAGGTGTTATTAACAAACCTCAAATAAACAAACATCATTCACCACCGCCCTCCAAAGGTGTTATTAACAAACCTCAAATAAACAAACATCATTCACCACCGCCCTCCAAAGGTGTTATTAACAAACCTCAAATAAACAAACATCACTCACCACCGCCCTCCAAAGGTGTTATTAACAAACCTCAAATAAACAAACATCACTCACCACCGCCCTCCAAAGGTATTATTAACAAACCTCAAATAAACAAACATCACTCACCACCGCCCTCTAAAGGTGTTATTAACAAACCTCAAATAAACAAACATCACTCACCACCGCCCTCTAAAGGTGTTATTAACAAACCTCAAATAAACAAACATCACTCACCACCGCCCTCTAAAGGTGTTATTAACAAACCTCAAATAAACAAACATCACTCACCACCGCCCTCTAAAGGTGTTATTAACAAACCTCAAATAAACAAACATCACTCACCACCGCCCTCTAAAGGTGTTATTAACAAACCTCAAATAAACAAACATCATTCACCACCGCCCTCCAAAGGTGTTATTAACAAACATCAAATAACAAACGTCACTCACTGCCGCCCTCTACAGGTGTAATTAACACTAAATATCCAATCATTACTCACCGCCACCTTCTAAAGGTGATATTAACAAACATCGAATAAACAAACATTACTCACCCCGTCCTTTAAAGGTGCTATTGACAAACACCACATAAACAAACATTACTCGCTACCACCCTTTAAAGGTGTTATTAACACGCATTAAACAAACATTACTCATGGTCGCCCTCTAAAAATGTTATTGAGAAACAGCATACAAACATTACTCATTGCTGCCCTCTAAAGGCGTTATTAATAAACTTCAAATAAAAAAACATTTCTCAACCTGTCCCTTAAAGATGTTATTGACAAACACCAAATAAACAAACATTGCTCACCGTGTCCTTTAAAGGTGTAATTAACAAACAAATAAACAAATGCTACTCACCGCCACCCTCTAAAGGTGTTATTAACAAACCAATAAACAAACATTACTCACTACCAAAGGTGTCATAGCACTAGTCAGCTTAAATTACAAGTTACAGCTTTTGACGTTTCTCAGTATGTGCAATTTATATTTTTTTTAATTCCATGTGTTTACCAAAACCCAATTCACATTCTGTTTGTTGCACCATAAACAAATGATTGTGAAAGCTAGTGCCTGTGGAAAATAGCTGTAATCAGCTCATTAACTGTGACAGGCCTACTTGTTAGGTCACTGTGTTTGGATGAAGGCTGAAGAGTGTTTTTGCTGAATTTACATTATATTACATTCTTTAATTCTTCTCAATTCTTACAAGATCTTCTGGACTGTGTAGCATTCCATCTAAAAATGGCCAATTACCAGTATAGTCACTCCAACTCACCCAAGGTTTACAGCCCAATGCTGGGGGCTTTATTGATGCTTGGCATTGGGCATGGTGACTTTAGGCTTATGTGCAGCTTCTCCAGAGCATCCCATTCCATTGGCAGTTACATGTCTCAGCAGTGGGTGACCTTAAAGTGGCTGAATTTAGTAATTAGAAGGGGTGTCTGGACACTTTTGGACATGTAATGTGTGTGTAAGAGCTGGTTATTTGGATCAGGTCTGTTAAGGCAAGACTTGAGTCACATCTTGACTGACTCGCTGTATTAGCTATTGTGCTATCTAGCTAGCACAGTAGCTATACAAACTGCAGACTAACCAAGTTTTTTTTGTCTCTTTAAGCAACACATTTACTTCGTGTACCACTTCATTTATGTCTTTCAAAGGTTTCACTTTTGTGCAATGTAATACCTGCAGCTAATAATGTGACCAGCTAAAATTCTCTGTTAAACACTCGAGACTTGCACTTGCATGAATTCACTTGTGAGTGTCACTGGAAGGAAATCACTTAAGGTGCCCTAAAGTGAGACATCTCATAGAATGTGTACATTTTGATATGAGAGATGCATTTTCTTGGTTATCACAGTGCTTCCTGAGATGAACCACTTTTTATTTTCTCTCTTGTTTATTTATTTATTTATTTATTGATTGCTTGATTGATTGATTGATTGTTTCTTAGTTTGGGGTAGGAATCAGTTTATGTTGTGAAGGTTTAGCAGTCTGGAAGTATTTTTGGAGAGGAATGTGAAGGTGGCAGTGGGTTTGGGGCAGTGTGCTGTAGTACTTAAAGAGGCATGAGAAAAGTCTTTGGCACTTTGGGGTTTGTGTTACAGCCTGTCATGCTTAGGAGCTTGGCAAGACTTTCATGCCCACATTCTTTACCCGTTTATGATTCATGTCTTTGCATATTTCTCTGGATAAAACAGTGCAGAGTGTGGCCTGTTGCATTTTAGAAATGCTATGTTTGTGAGCCAGTGTACTGAAAGTACATTGTTGATGGTAAAATACTGCTGCAGGCTTACATTCATTTCTGGGGACCACAATAGCACAGGCTGCTGTAAGCATATCTATTGTACTCTGTGCTGACTTCCTTCTTTATATTCACAGAAGTTTTGGTTATTGAAATGAATCTGAAAAGCCTACAGTAGGTAGCACACAAAGCTGATCTTTCAAACTAGAACAAATTTGAAATTTCAGGGCCAATGATTATAACTGATAATTAACACCTTGTTGTGGCCTATACAGATATCAACAACTATATTTTATGATTTAAATGTTCACACTATAATCCTATAATTCTTTTGGCTGTATTGATCACTGAAACAATCTGTTTTCAAATGACTAATTATCCACTTGAATTGAAAGGTTTTTTCCTTGCTGTACCTCAGCTGAACATTTCTTGCAAACTGCAATTCTGTTATCCTGTGCTAAAACTGTGAAAATGTCCATACTGCTGACATTGTCATCTGTAATTCTAATATGGGACCAATAAAAATGATTACATTTTCCCATTTATCAGCGAATAATATATTGACCAATGACATAAGTTGCTCCCCTCTACAAAAACAACTCTCAGAACAGTGCTTGAAATTCCAAATTATTATTGAAGGAAAAAAATAACTGATTTTCAAAAACACCTGTGTGATTAAATGATTGAGATGTAAACAGTCAGTAAAGTGCTCTGCATGCTCTAGAAAAACTCACACAGTCAGAATTGTTAACTAAGGTGATGTTGGGAACCAGATGTCTGGCCTCTGAAAGTCCCCTCAGAGAAAGTTATTACATGCAGTGGTTTCAAGGTTGTCATCAAGGTTATCAAGGTTTTGGTCTCAAATGTATTTTTAAAATCCATTCATGGTACTGAGAAACGTACTATTAGGTAAAGTTGTGCAGCAGAGATGATTTAGATTACTTCCCTTAGTCAAATTTGAATCTTTTTAATGTAGAATATTTCTGCTATTAAGAGTTTGTTTCTTACAACAAGGAATAGTAATTCTTTGGCTTTTATGTCTGTGTGAGGCCTGAGAAGGATGCTGTGCCTGTTATATAAGATAAGGACTTGTTTATGCCCAGTTCCATCTATTTACCATTGGCCACCGCTATGTTTTTAGGATATATTAGAGATAAACAAATTATAAACAATTTTCTTATGTCACACATCCTTCTCAAGCAGGGACACTGTCTTTGTTGACTGAATTTCACCAATGTCACTGTGTTCATTTTTGTTTCTGTGCCAGTTCAAGTCTGCAATATAGAAATTTTGACTTGTAATGATGAATCAGTCGTGTATGTAGATTTTCTATTTTACATATAATTTGCATAAAGGTATAACTTCTTAGACCAAATCTGTGTTAGGTGGGAAAGCTCTCACCCCCACCACTCTCTCTCTCTCTTTCTCTCTCTTGCTCTCTCTCCCTGTTTAGAACTTCTGCTGATTTTCTTTAAGCTTTTGTCTTAGTTAAGCCTTTGTGTGTGAGGTTATGTGTGAACATGATAACCTGTTGAGATTATTGTTCTTTATTTTTGTCCATCTTTGTCTCATTTTCATGTTCCTGTAATTAGAAAAATATTTTTCTTCTTTTACTTTGAAATTCAATGTGTGGTCTTCTCTTCTTAGGTTTTGGTGTAT